GTCGGAGGGTCAGTGCTGAGGGCGCGCCGCGCTGTCGGAGGGTCAGTACTTTGTAAAAATTTATTCCCTCCTAGGCCTATGGGAGTCATTGGTCAGGCCAACATTTGTTATCTCTCCCTAAGGGCCGTTGAAGCAGTGTGTCCTGCTTAGCCATTACAGAGGTCAGGTAAGAATGTGCTTGGCGGTGCTCCTGTTGATGTCTGTGGAGTTATTACCATGTTAAAGGCAGTGTAGCAATGCGCACTATCACTGTGTGTTAGAAATGAGCACTGGCAAATTAATCCCTGTGTCCTAATGCTGCCAAAGAAGGAATAACTGGGAGACAGGTTTGACTGTGACGCACTCAACAGTCGACTTGCCTGCCTGAGCTGGCAGTGGAACGTGTTCTTGAAGGGATACCAAGTGTATGGTGGCTCAGTCATAGACACCAGTGTGCCCACTGTACGGTGCCATCTACTCACAGGCTGTCTCTGCTTCCAGGATGGAAATTGGCAGATCGTGCACGGCCTGAGGGTTTCTGATGACTCCTGGTTAATGATGGCCCAGTCAGCTCAGGAGCTGCTCAAGGAGCGGGAGAGAGCCGTGAGAGCACTGGCGAGGAGTAAGTACATGCCCCTGCGTTGCTGGGAACACCCCCCCCCTCAATCCCCTCCGAGGGGAAAGCACAGTGCAAATGGAGGCAGACAACCTGATAGCCCTGACCCTGGTCAGTGAGGGATTTCCCACTCTACTCTCTCAATGTGTCATTCCATTCCAGTGACAGCGAATGGTCCTCAGTGCCTGCACCCTGCAGTTCCATCGTAACAGAGATAGGCCAGTTCTGTGTAGAACACAGTTTACAACAATTCCCTGGCTGTACACAAGTTGACTGTTTCTAAAAGGGGAAATGTTGCTTTTCATCTCGCACTCATCAGTATCAAACGAAAGAATGACAAAATTCAAACACTTACACAACAGGAGAAGAGGGTGCTGATTGGTGAGTCAACTCTATTTGCCTAGACAGAGAAAGTAACAGGGTATTAACAGCTCCCTAAACTCCCCGGTATTTCCAAATCATCAGTGCAATGCATTCTGTTTGTTTGCAGAGAACGGCTCCCTGCATATGAACAAAAGTTGTTTCTAACATGTGTAAACAAACCACATGAGACTACAAGGTGCAGAGCTGGATGAACACAGCAGTCCAAGCAGCATCAGAGGAGCAGGAAGGCTGACGTTTCGGGCCTAGACCCTTCTTCAGAAA